CCACGCACCTTTATTCAAAAAATTTATTTGCCCCTCCCCTCCCCCCGAACGGAAATCCTGGGACCACCACTGCTATGCAGCTATAAGATAGTAGAATTGTGTTGAGTGCTGAGTTTCTCAGTCTAAGGAAAAAGGATAGTGGCGAAATTGCGCATCCGAAATAAAGCTTCACAGTAGCAGAACATTTATTATATGCATATGAGATCATTTCAACAACATTTATCGCCGTGCATTTCTTCTAATTCCGCTTGTGTCACTGTTCTCGAGCCAAATAAAAGAAAACCGATACCTGAATCGATAAACTCATGAAGAAATTTTCAAAGTCGAATTTTCTGTACCAGCTCCTATGCATACTGCTAATCCGAGCCATATGGAAAATGTCATGAATACAAGCATGAGCATATAACTGAGCACTAATTGTACTCCGAAACAAAATGTTTGAAGAAGATGAGAATATGAGAAGAGGCGTGTCACATAGCTAAAATATTTTATGTTGTAAAAATAAGCCGATCCTCATGAATTTATGGCTGTCTAGTCTGACTACCTCTCAGATCTAACAAATTCGAATGTAGCGTACTTTGTGGACAGCATAAGCTCTTTTCGGTTTGCCAATTCCATTCGCCATCGTGCATATCGAATAAATTCCAGCAGAACTCCCAAAACCATTATTACCAAGCATGTCCAGATCATCTCTGGAAAATCTTATAATGACCTGTTCTTGCGTTTTAGATGACTCTTCTACCTCCAGGAGTTGTAACTATCCAAAAGTCGAAAAGCACCAGATCATTGATTTTGGTATGAAACCACATCCACATCGGTTTCTTCATATCATGATGTCTCATTGTAGTCGCAAATGCATGCGTAGTGGCAGAATCGGTGGTAGTGTCCATTTTCTCGGTATTAGACTTAAGCAAAATCTTTTCAAAAACTTTGAAATGCAGCGCGTTCTTGAGAAATACGACTGCGTTCAAGTGTCAGTCAATTTTGGATGTAAAGGACTAAA